ATTTATATAGTACTCTGTGAACACAAATTAGTTAGCATAAATCAGTTATTTGATGAAAAATTAGGTGTCTATTTACTTGTGACCACTCAGTGTACATTACTTTTTAGTTCTGATCCGTATGGTTAGCTTACATTTGACCAGAAGTTTTAAGAAATACTTGAGTTATTGCATTTTTTGACTGATTGTTAGGTCTTGGCTAGGTTGACCACTAAATTTGCTGTAAACAAATTTGGAAAATGACTACTTTGAATAACTTTTGTATCATTTTTCTTTCATATGCCTCTTTCAAACAGACCACCTGTAGATAGATTATCCAAGTCCCTAAAAATTTCAAGCACTTCAGTTAAGTTACCCCTAGTCCTTCTGTGTTCCAGAAAAAGCAAGTCTCACTTTGTAGCTCAATTTTGTAAATATCATTCCACTTGACTGTCTCTGAATTTTTTTTTCTATTAGCTGATATCTTTCCTGAAAGTTTATAGGAGATTACAAAAACCTGCTCACTTTTAAGTTTTAAAATTTGACTTAAAAATATCCAAAAGCTATACTTGCTATTTTCAGTATAACTGAAGACTTTAGGCCTTTATTAACAGTCACATGTCATTCATTCTCTGTTGATTTTTCCACAGCACAAATGCTCTTCTAACATACGAAGTAAGTCCTTTCTAAATTTCAATGTCCCAAGTGCCTTACTTTACATTCTTCAAGACTAAAACTCACATTTCTGATACAGTATATTACTTCCGCTCACAGATATATCTATTCTCATTAAGTGCTGCCCTCTATATGCAAAAATGCTTTTGCATGACACAAGCCATGAACTTCCACATACCCACAATCAATGTGATTCACTGCATCTCACATATAAATCATCATGCAACAACCCTCCACCAATAGGAGTGCAACACATCCTCCAGATACATGTGAATCCCTCTATTCAATTCTACCAAACTGTCACTTCTCTTTTTTTTTTTTTTCACTGAAGTTTATGTTTCCACTTCTAAAGTGATATCATTTACTTCTAGCACAATTACATGGGCTTCAGATGGCAGTACTCGACTGAGGAATTGTTAGCTTTCATACGTCGGGAAATTGATTGTTTGGGGCCCACACATTTTGAATATGGTCCGCAGACTTTGGACAGATAAGCTATTATACTGTTATTGTTTTTGTATATTTTTGATATTGATATTATTATTTGTAGTTATTTGGGTTCAATAACATAAGTTTAGTTTGATTTGTAAATACTTATTTTAAGGTTAGGATTAGAGCTTAGTGATTTCTTTGTACTACAATGTTAGATTTGGTTTAACAAGTGTTTTATTTAAGGCTTACCTGCCATTCTTTTTACTGATAAATCATAATTTAGGTTAAATATTCTGTTTCCTAAGACAAGCACCATCTAATACATTTTTTATTGTTAATACACAGATACTAAATTTTACAAATATAATGACTATTTTATTTTTATAATTATTTGTTTTCTTCTTGCAATATTGCTCGCCTTCCTCCTAAAACTGCTGAACCCATTTGGTACGATTTTGAATATATCAATTTTCCTCCACCTGATTATGACTTGCTTTCCCAAGTCTCTGCTGTGGAGTCTCCTAGGCCTATATCACCCTTTTTTGGACACATTTCATAGGTTTTTTCCACTCCTTCTCCAGACATTATGGTTCATACTGGGCCTTTTTGTCTCTCTTTTGAGAGAGGGTGCTTGCATGCCTTTCCCTTCATGGGTTTTGGTTCATTTTGCCTTAGCTTACCATCAGGCAGATTGTTTTGTTTTCTTGATTCTCTGCACTTACAATCTGTTGCCTTTGTGAAGGGCGGACCTTGTTGATTCTGCCCTTGTATCCCTTGCCAAGTTTTCCAGCCTTCATCTTCTCCTATTAACTCTCTTAGAGAAATTGTATGCCATACACCTCCTTTCTGAGGCATTCCACCTATTTCTTCCGGATTTTCATGGCATACCTTCCCCCTCCACATTGGGGTGATTGCCGTTTTTTGCTCTTTCCATACGTACGTGGCTTCTTTGCTTTGGGATCTTCTGGAGTGGAACATTGTCTTACACCAAATTCATTTACCATCCACTTGTACTTGAGACTTATGGCCAGCCCTTTTTCTCCACCAGTCAGGTTTGTTTTTTGGGGTGGAACTCCTGTAGGCTATCTGTGATGCTTTATTCAATTTTTCTTTTTTGCTTGCTTGTTTATCTCATTCTGAGCCATTACATTATTTATCCACGTTCCATGGATAACACCTTCTCGTCATTTACCTGTCCTACCTCTCAGGTATCCATTAGTCGTGCATTGTCAATGTAGAGTGGAGTTCTGTGATTGATCTGTCTCGCTTCAATCACTTCTTGATTCTTTCCAGTTTTATTATGTTGCCATTTATCACATTTCTCCAGGACTGTGGATGCCCAAGGTAAACGTTTCATATTCTTTTACCCAAGTTACTATTTTTCATCCCTCGTAACACTATATTAGGCTTTTTTTTCATCATGGGGTTCGGTACCAGTTTTGCACCTTACCCTTTGACCTTGTTTCAGATCCATAAGTCTTTTTTTTTGGGTGGTCAGAATTTTATCCGATTTCAGCATGATGGGGAATTGTACTTACACCATAACTTGTTCATTGGGCTTCTGTTACCTTATTCCAAACTGGAGTTGTCAAAACATACTCATCTGCTTCTTACACATGTAGCTTGGATGGTTGGATTTTCCAGTTGGTGAAGTATCTCCCATTACCTACCTAACACTCTCATCTTTAGGATGTGTCTTTTTTCAACACCCAACTCTGTTGGGCCCATCCTTCTCCTCTTCGACTGCTTTTGATGGAGCTTTCAGTTCTCCACATCCTTGTTGCTAACTAACTGCTAGGTTCTATCAGGTTGTGGGATGTGGCTTCTATGTAAGCACTTATCCCCTTGAGTCTGGTACGTATGTGATCTTTTCAGGGGATGCTGCATGACCCATATAACCTTGATATGGTTCCTTTGGATTCTCCTCGTAACTTTCCTCCTTCCCTCTTTGACGATATTCGTTAGTGATAGAACAAAACTCCCACATTGTCAAGACCCCTTCATCCCTCTTGTCCAGATTTGTTTCTCTTCCCTTATCCTTATCTCCAAGGTTGGAGGGTATGGGTCAGTCAGCACGATGTTTCAGGACAATAGTACAAGGCCAAAAGGTCTTACCATGTTAATGCCCTGGAATCTCTGTTTTTAAGTAATCTGAATTTTTGAAAGTGTGTGTGTGTTTTGCTGTATTTTACATACATTTTAAAAATGTTAAAATGATTCCAGTTGCAAAACCACATGCCTATATAACTAGTTGTTCTTCACAGAATGAGTAAGTTAACCTTTTGTACCTCCTGTGTTAATGCCAGATAAATTAATTTTATTTTTGTCATAGAGTCATGTTTTGGAGGAATTAATGTACTATTTAATGTTTCTAATTATGGCATTTTTGAGTTATTGATTCTATGTTTATTTTTTTAGGGTTGTATTCCTACAATAGGTCGGGCTATGGTTGTTAATGCTGCCCAGTTAGCATCCTATTCACAAGCCAAACAATTTATTTTATCAACAAGTAAGTGTAGAACTTTTCCACAATTGAGATTTTAACTATTTCTGACAAACTTGATGTTTTAAAGTTTAAAATATTAAAAATCTCAAGTGTAAAATGTCTAAAAATAAATAGGACTTCATTCAGACAATGAATTATTGAAAATGGTGGTACAATATACACCAAAGGTTTTAAAACCTCATACCTGTTGTTATTTATGGAGTTATACATCTAGCAAAAATGTTAAAAAAATAAGAAAAGCCAAATACAGTATATCAGCATAATAAAATTATCTGGAAAGCAAATCAAATGTGAGTAATGAGCTTTAAAAAAGAAAGTAAAGAACATGCCTTGAAAGCTGCATTGGTTGTGGCTAAGCTAGTGAACATTTTTGACTCATTCAACATATAAGGGCAGCATATAATTCATTTAAAGCATTGAACGAAGAAAGATGAGCAATGTTAAACAAGAATAAATGAACAGTATTTTTGAATTATATATAAAACAACTTTCACAAACATAATTCTCAGTTAACTGTACACTATGCATCAGCTGCAACATCTTCAACCTAATAGCTCTTGTAAAGATTTTGAGGTGCTCTCCTAAGGTGCCTAATTAAAAATTATCTAAATCTGCATATACCTGCAAATATGTTTATATGTAAGCATACCCTGTTATTCATCAGAGCCTAATCAGTGTCATCATATTTTTAGGTTATTTTGTAGACAACATTTTATGCCATTTTGTTGCCAGCATGATTAGTGGTCTTGTTACTACTGCAGCATCCATGCCAGTCGATATTGCCAAAACAAGGTAAAGTTTCATGTTTTTACAAGCAGTAAAGTCAGTCACTTTGTAAACCTGCTACAATATAATATATTATTTTATTTAATATATATTTTACTAATTAGAAGTATGAACCTTGCAAAGAAAGATATTTAAACAGAATTAGGATTTCATTTGTTTTGAAAATGTAAATTTAACAATATTGCAATTATTTTACGAAGAAATTAGCTAAACGTTCACAAAAATTGTTACACAAAAAAAAAAGCTTACACAGTATTTAAGTATTAAATATTGTGACATTCAATAATAGTAAATAAGTATGATTTAGATATAACAAGCTTTTTGTAATTTCCATTTTTAGAATTCAGAATATGAAGATAATTGATGGAAAACCTGAGTATCGTGGTGCATTGGTATGTAGTGTGTGTCTGTGTATTTAATTGCAAAAAGCATATTTAAAGAAAGTGTATCAATATTTTTCTAATATAAAACATCATTGTAATGAAAAATAAAGCATTGTACCTCCTTTAATTGACTCAAAAGTTCAATATCATGGTCAGTGTCAATTAAATCATTAGATGAAGAATATAAACCATGTTAGAGAAACATTTTTCATAAAATCATTTTGTACTTGATTTAGGTTTTGGTAGGAATACCAATATTCATAGATTTGCCTAGCCAATAAAATTTGAATTTGAAGTGATTTAAGTAAACACATTTTGAATTTCTTATACCCTGTATTAAATGAATTAAAACTGTACTGCTACTAAAGCTGCTCCTTTCTTTATTATTCTTTATGTGCAAAGAAATGAACTTGCCAAATGTACTAATGCCAATTTGTTAATTGCAATGTGGTCATGCTTTGGACTATAATAATAGATCATTGTGGGATTAAAATTTCCTTTTTTTTTTTACTGTATTGTTATTTTGGGGTAAAAACGAAATAGATGCTTATTTACATATTTAAAAGTATTTAACTATACTTTTCAGTAAAATAAATATCTTTACACTAAAATGGTATTATTAATATGCAAAGCAGTCATGTTCTCAATCATGTTAGTGAGGTACATGATTTTATATAATCACGTGTCTGTTACATGTGGCGTGGGCACGATTTGGGAGAAAAATCAAAAAAAGAAAATTGTGGGTAACTGTTCCCCCATAATCCTGCTTATTATATGTGTTCTGGTTATTTTTTGTCTGTTATCCAAAAATTTGTTTTACAATGTCATACAAAGTAAATAAATACATTTTTTATGCTCTCTTTCCTTTAGATGTTAAAACTATCATAACTGTTGTTTAATATTTATAAATAAATTTGTAAGTAAATACATCTTTTTTCTCAAATTGATTTTGTGATGTTCATCTTTATACTCTGGCATTAAAAAATTAAATATTCATTTAAGAGTGGTGGGATTTTTTTTTTTTTTTTTTTTTTTGTATGTCTTGAACCTAATAAAGTTTTTAGTTTTTGTTTGTGATATATCTGTTTTTGTTAAAAGTTTATTTATTCTGATGCTATATCTTTCTTTTGAAGTAAGGAAAAACATTAATTTAGATTTGTTTTCTCTTTTCTTGGGGGTGTATTATAGGATGTCTTAACAAAAGTTATAAGGAATGAAGGTTTGTTCAGTCTTTGGAAAGGATTTACTCCATATTATGCTCGTCTTGGTCCACATACGGTGCTAACTTTCATCTTCTTGGAGCAAATGAATAAATATTACCGGGTATACATTCTTGGGGATGAGTCATCAGGAGGTGGAGGACTGTGAAAAAGAATCAGATTCAGTATTTTACCATAAGTGAAGTTATCAGCATGTTGCAGAACTCTGATTGGAAGAATAATGTATGGCATATTATTGGATCTAAGTAAACTAAGGGTATTTTGACACATTTTTTTATAATATTCTCCTAGCATTCCACAAAATAGCACATATTTTATGGAAAATGAGCATTTATGCTGCATAAATATAGTCAAATTTAAATAAATCTGACCATAGTCTGGTCACTTTGTGTATGGGTGTAGGTTTTTGTACTGTTTGATGATGAATAAATATGTTTTTAGACAAAATAAAATAGATAATTAGAAAGTATTCACATGTAAAGTCAATTAGGTATTTATGGTTGTAAGAAGCCAGCTAATATCCCTTAAAGAAGAATGTTATCAGATGGTGAACATGATGTGTAGTAAGGGAAATAACTGAACTTTATACGTGTACTCTGAATATACTCGTAACTAAATCTTTTAAGTGCAATGCTTATTTGGAACTGTAAGCTATACTGTATTCAACTCATAAATTAAGGCTTATAGTCGCACCAGTTACATCCAGTCGTTTCATGACACAAATCAATAACATTAGCTATATCCAATCAGGTTTTGAGTAGAATTAACAAATGGCTCTCAGGGTCAGCTAAAACCAAGGTTCCCAGGTATTGTGAATTACCAAGTTTGTCCCTGAAGAAGAAAGGTCCACTTTTTGAAAGTTCTTGGGCTATAGACTTATATTTTTGTATCAAATTGATTTATTGAACCCATGTGTGTTTTTAAGATCATTATTGCCAAGCATTATGGTATTTTCAGCAAAGCTTTGAATCAATAGTTTTGTTTTGAGTTTACTTACTGATTATAAGTATTAGTTTATTACAACTTACAGCTTTAACTGTAAGAAACAATATTTTTTAGAACAGGTACAATGTATCATTCACTAGTTCAATCATTCTTGAGTAAACGAAGTTTACCGTTAAAATTTGTGTACTTGAGAATGATTGCACCAGTGATCGAAACATTGTGCCTGTTCTGAAAAATATTCTTCCTTACTGTAAAAGTTGTAACTTGTAATAAAATAGCTTTGAATCTTGTAGAATTTTGTAGCTTTACAACTGTATGCTTGATCTTGATCTCCCATGAGTTTAGAACTGGATTTTTAAAATGACATTCCCTTTAAAATGTAACTGAGGAACAATATTCTTAAATAGGAACTTGCAGATATACTGTAGCTTTCTATGGTATGTCTATTTTTAAAATAGATGTAAAATATTAAAGCTGGTTTGAAGATGAATTAAAAAGGATATTACTAACAGATTCCAACATAATTGTGTTTCTGAATGATATATTTTATTGGATAAACGTTGCTTGCATATAACAGGAATGAAATAGTTTATACTATTTTTGTAATGAAATTATGCAGAAAAATAATATATTTTTGATTATACTAGCACTGATAAAAGAAAATAATATTTTATACTGAATCCAATCACACTGATTTTGTTGTTTGTATCTATGTTTTTGAAAATAATAGATAAAAAAGTGTTTCTGATCTTTTTTTTTTATTATTTCTTGTTTTATTACATTAACCTTCATTTAGTATTTAATTGTATGCTCAATTAAAAATATTCATGTTATATTTTGTGCTTACAAATTATGAATTACTAGTACATTACTCACAAAAATTCACAGGAAACAAATTAACAACTTACATATTGTCAAGTTTTTAGTAACTATGTGAAGCCAATTTTGAAAGCTCCTCCAAATCCTGTTGATCATCCATTTCGGGTTACCAATGTGAAAATATTGAAAACCTAAAAGTAGATTCTTATTTTGAGTGACTTTTTACTTATCCATACCAGTTATCGTTAAATCCATAGATCCAGTCCCGAGAGTTGCAAATCCACTGTGACCTCTCCATTTGGGAGTTTAGACTTAAAATTTTTCAAAATCTCAATTTAGATTATTGGTCTGAATTGCTCTTTATATCCGAATACCAATTTTCAAGTGAATTAGCTCAATCAAACCTAAGAGCCTCCAATCTTTAGAGTTTACATCACAAGGTTCTTTTAACTATTTTTTCCTAGTTTATACTCTTTGGAAGTCAAAAGTAAATATACAAAATTTCATATCTTTTGTCAAATTATGAAAGGAGTTCAAAAATCAAGTGAACCCGATACGTACATGGAAGTACACTTGAGAATTAATCTAAATAGTTGATGATTTACAAGTCCATTGTCAGACAAATAATTCACAAATTGAGAGGTATAATTATTTGTGGAAGGGAATCAGATGGTGTGGGTCTCTCCTGTGACAGTAACATTGAGATCCTTCAAGGTTATCATAATCTCCTTTGAAAATTTTATTAATGCACATTGTCGATGACAATAGTGTATACAATAACAAATGAAACATTTTAAACCAAAAGCTCTTTTCAAGAACAACAGTTATAGGTCTAAGTGCACCTTCTTTTCATGTATATTGAGCTATGCACAAAACGTTAAAATCTGACCATGGCAGAGGCTGTTGCACAAACCTAGGTTTGATGATTCAAGGTCAAACTTAAATAAATAGGTCATTACACCTTTGAAGTATTAAAAGGTTCAAATATATTTTTAAAAAAGCTGCAATTGCTTCCAAGTCATCTAAATAATAGCATGGTACTCAGTTGAAGAACAATTGGTTATATTCCTACTATATATGTCTCGCCAGAATGAACAGGCTGCTGACAAATTATATGCTGAGTGTTTTTCAGACCCCTGATTGAAAATATTTGTCAGTGGATGCATACAACATATGGGCTTTTTTACTCGTAGATACCACGTGAGAAACTAATAACAGCATCACTAGGTAGACTCACAACTTATTTCATACCACTAACAGTTATTTATTTATATATATAAATACCTCTACATATAAAAATTATCATCGCGTCAATGAACATCTGAAACACCCCGTACTTATTACTCTGTTTTTCATTTCATAAAACATTCAGAGTTTTAAAAATCAATATTAAAAACGCTTAGATTCATATCTAGACAAGATTTTTGCTTACCAACAAACTATCATACAAGGATCTTTAAACAGGTGTTTCTAAAAATCAAAATAATTATTATTAATTGGGATATTTTTATCTGACAAAATCAGAGCACAAAAGCCGTTTCTTGTTAATGTTTCACGTAAAAAGTGATCTAAAGTTATTTTGATAGATTTTATTCCCTATATGAATAAAGACGTAGAAGAGTTATTGAGAGATTGTAGAACCTACATGAGCCTTGTTGCATGTGTGTGTATACACAATATAGAATTTCATATCTTTTTATCAAATTGTATACATGTATTCAGTGTACAATTTATATTTATGCTTTAGAGTCCCCCAGTAGCACAGCGGTATGTCTGTGGGCTTGCACTGCTAGAAACCGGGTTTCGATACCCATGATGAGCAGAGCATAGATACCCATTTGTGTAACTATGAACAATGCACCCCTGAGGTATGGATCGTATCCTATATATAGACACACACACACACACACATGTATATTTGTGTGGACTGTGTTGCTAGTATAACCTAGGATGTGACCCAGAAGAAAGTTTGTTATTACTTTGAGTTTAACCAACAAAATAAATATGGTTTACTCTTCATGATATTTCTGTTTAATACTTCGAAGTTTCTAGTAAAAGAAAAAGGTAACAAAAATATCGATAAATAGGCTACTGTGTATTGTCCACTTCTCAGTTCAATAGTAGACATTTTCATCTAAGAAGTTGTAAAGAAAAAGTCTTAGAATGTCTACATAATCAAGGATATTGGAACCGATATTATGTCAAACAATTTAGGTGTGCATGTTCTATGATATTCTGATATTGTATAAAAAGAAAATGTACAAATTTCGAATTGTCCACACAAGATTTTTATCATGAATGTATTAGAACAACATTTTGTCAGAAGAGAGCAAAACTTTTAATGAAAAAGGGCAAGTTTCTTCGAAGATTTTAAATAGTCTTTCCATACACACCCTACGAGAACAACCTAAATCATGGTGGACGATTTAAATACAGCTTTTACATCCATATATATATTAAACTCAACCTAACAGCACACACGGAGTATTGTTTGTTTGTTTTTGAATTTCGCTCAAAGCTACACGAGGACTATCTATACTAGCCGTACCTAATTTAGCAGTGTAAGACTAGAGGGAAGGCAGCTAGTCATTACCATCCACCGCCAACTCTTGGGCTACTCTTTTTACCACCGAGTAATGGGATTGACCGTCACAGATTGCGAGTCGAGTTCCATAACCACCTGGCCATGCCGGCCGCACGCGGAGTACACTGTCAAGTAATGATTCCATTAGTGAAAAACCTGTAATAATAGATATCAAGTCTAATACGGATTTTCTGAGCATATAGATACTGCACATATTTAAATCCCTACTTCCAAAGTTATTTATATAGGTAGTTTAGATTAATACAATTTTCAATATACAAATAGACCTTTCTTAGCATTTTTTTTATGCTCCAATATACAAAATATTAGTTTTTAAGCTTCTTCTTCAGGTTTCTTTAACCTCTACAATTTCTCTGTCAGATCGGTGTCTTTGTTCATAGTTTTAATATTAGACTTTATTTTGATACAAAACACACTGAGAAGCTATTTCACATGTAAAAGATTAAATCATTTCGCCATAAAATATTGATTTCAGTTCTATGAATTTTATAAAAATATCACATGTGTTTTACTAGGACAATGCCCCTGTCTGCGGAATTATACTACTAGAAACTGGGTCTCGTTGTAAATATCCCATTGTGTAACTTTGTGCTACAAACAACAACAATGTACTAAGACAAGAGAAAACTGTAAAATATTTGTATTGTAAAATAAAAATCTAAATTTTAAAATTGATGTGGTAACAGTTGAAATGAAATATTAAGTATTTGATGTATATTTCAAAAAAATAATATTCTATAAGTTTGTGTATGAGCCAAAATTATAATAATTTGCTATATGTATCTTCTGGCACAATTCTAAATTGTTGTTGCTTTGTTTTTACATATGAATCAACTTTCTAGTGATTGTATGAAACGAAAGTAGGTCGTATCCTAATGTAACATTTGGTAATTGCTAGATTTAATCCTTTTATAACTAGAAATATATATATATATATTTATACATGTGTTAAGTAATTTGTTTTCCAAACTTTTTGGTGCAAGTTAGTGTGCTGCAGTTAGTTACCATCCTTGATCAAAGTGTAAGTAGCCATAAATTACTATTAATCTTCGTCTCGGAATAAAGTTTATTATACTGACTTGGCCATTCTTTAGAGTCATTGCACCCCTGAGGTGTGGATCTTACCCAAGTGGAAAAATTGTCAAAAGATTTATAGAAATTGGTATCTAGTATGAATTGGGTATTATTATTTTCTCGAATAGATAAAATGAGAATAATTACTGATATAGATAATAGGAATGTGTAATATTGCACTAAGACTTTGGTATGACTTAACCGTGTGGTATAGAAACAACCCTTTTTTATTTTATACATAACAACCTTGTTATTCACCTGTTCCAATAGTAAAAAAACCTATGGTCAACTAGAAACTCTGTAATCTGTGAAAATGCCGAACACTATGTGTGTTTGTGTAAATTTAACACCTTTAAAAATTAGAATTGTTACACCTTCTGTTAATCCATTTTTGTTTTCTGTCATCTATTTTTGTTGTCTTTTAAAACTATATAGGTGTAACTAATATATGTACACACACTATAATGCACTGATTGAAGTTCGATCGTCCAGTTAAAATTTTAATCTAGATAGTTTCAAAATATAAAATTAACAATTTAATAAATTTGACAATAAAAGATGGTACAAATGGAATTTTTTTAATTTAAATTTCTTAGTTGGAAACAATATGAAAAGTGCGTTTATACAAACTGAAACTATTTTTCGCTTTTAAAAACAACATACACTTTTTTGAAGCACAAAGTAACACAATGGACTATCTGTGCTGTGACCACCACGAGTAATGAAACCCAGTTTTTAGCGGTGTCAACCCACAGACTTTCCGCTAATCCAGTATGGGCTGATAATAACATACACAAAAATATATGTGATATAAACTTCAAGTAATTTTAAAATAATACTGATTGTGACAAAGTAAAAAAGTGGACCGCTAAGTTACCATAAGAATTTCAAATTGCAAACGGAAGAATATAATGTAATTTGGATAAGTCTGTCCTATTTATTGTATCACCTGATGTTGTATGCTTCCCAACTTTACTAAAATCTTCGAAGCAAAAACAAAAATTTGTGAAACCTCAAGAAG